GTCCATGTTTTTGTTTTTGCTACAACATTCTTAATATTACAGACAGGTGTTTAAATCATATATCATTGAAAAGACAATTCAATTTCCAACAAAATGATATATAATTTATTTCACATGAATAAGTATTTTTTTAAATAACGTTTCGATTACCGCAGGGGTCAAAATCATGATTTACCGATTGCTGAATACGGAATGCTAAAAACTGACCAGACAGATACAAGGGGCGATCCATATATTCTGATGAGAATGCTCTTATTATGTAATTTCTTCACATATCCCTCTCATTTTTTCAGAAGATGTAGATTATGTAATTATACATACAATGCTTAAATATTGTAGCTATATCTTAAATTAATTTTGAGATAAAGTTGCCATGGTAACCTGTATTTAGGATAGGCAGGTCAATTGAATTATAACGTTTAAAATAACAAATAACTTGTTATTTTAATTATTTTAAAGCATGCGGAAATCATATATTTTTCTCAAAAAGTTGTTGTTCGTTGTTTGTTGCTAAACAACCCCTATGTCAGCTTTGAGGATATAAGAAGGTCAACATTGTTGATTTATGTATCAAATGAAAGCAAATTAATTTACAAATACAATATCATTGAGTTTTTTTACCATTTTGATAGGTATTGGTAATTTTATAGCCTAAATAACGCGGAGAACTGCATCAAATAGTTAATATTTACTCATTTCAAGACATTTTGGAGAGAATGCCTATTATCGGCTAAAGTTATCATGAAATGATCAATAATGATGCTGTACTTATATAACTTAACTGACATTCTGAATGGCAGACAATGCAATAATAGACACCAGAAGAGGAAATTATGGAAATGTATTCCATATCATGGGTTATGGAACTGAGTTTCTTTGCAAAACATGTTTGAAGCAAATAACAATTTATCTAACAATCTTACTTATAAGTATTATTTTTGAATTTTGCACTAGACTCGAATAAATGTACCTCTTTTGAAGGTGCCAAAGTTAAAACTTTCCCTCCATTTTCCACAACAGTGAATAATGTTTTGGTTGCTCATGAGACCCCTTATGTCAATTTCAGCCTATAGCGCCACATGGAAACAAAGGTTTTTCAATCAGATGGTGTCATATTGTTTGAAAATGATTCATCTTTAAATTGACATGTAATCCATGGCACGGTTTAACGTTATATCATATGATATTCATCCTCAAACCTGGGTATTGTTTTTTGGCCTCCGCTGTATATATTATCTACTTCACCAACACAACTGGGGGGGGTGGGGGGCTCACAATGTCTAGTTAAAGCCAGGGGCATAGCTAGGATCTAAAATCAGTCGAGGCAATATCCATAGAAAGAGGTATATTACTGCTAACTTTGGATTCCTTTTTCACAGGCTTTTGAAAGTATGTTTACATTTTGGTAAGCAGTTGCCTCGACTAACTCATGCCTGGCTACGCCCATGATAGATGGCAGGGATTGGATGTTGATGTTACAACAGAATATATCGTTTAGTATTGTAGACGTGCATATTTTATTGATTCAAATAACACGGCGTAATATCTGAACTGCGCGCATACGATGCAAGCAGTTTGAAACACTGACACACTGGGCGCATATCAAGAGTTGATCATACAAGTTGGAGTCTGTGTTTTCAAACGTCATTTTAAGACATTTATTCTGCATTGTTTTATAGTTCCATACGTCCATTTGGTGGCGATTATATGATTGTACCATTTGATAGCGAAAACTATGTCCAGATTAACGTAGGTTTTGAAATATAAACAGATTAGTAAAGAAAATTTTCATCGGTTTTTCGATTACCGACACATAAGTTGATGTTGCACTTTTCACAGAAATAGAAAGAACTATATTATTTAAACCATAAGCAGCAATCCTATATATCTTTCAGTACATGTAAACACAAGGGCTGAATAAACTTCAAACTACGACAAACAGACATTACATGACGCAACATATATTTTGAACACAAAAGCTCCTTAGGAACCTTATATTGAGATAACTAGGTTTACATCGGTAGAAAAAATCGAGTGCTACTTGTAAAGTAAGTTAGGCTCCACATAATTGCACTGTCTGATAAACAAAACTAAACTTGTATTTCCAGTACTTTTCATCCTTACGGGAGTCGTGTCCTCCTCGTCTGCCATTTTTAAATATGCGCACAGTTTGTCAGTGTTCCAAACTGCGTGCATAGTATACACGCAGTTTGGATACCGCACCGTGAATAAGATAAATGTATTTACTGTATGGCCGGTTAATATATGATAGACATTCTATTTTTCAACATACGTCTTAAAATACGAATTTAGTTTTTTTCCTTTTTTACTTTGTCTAAAAAGCTATAAAACTGGAGAGCTTCCAAACAGTTCAAGATAACATAGATTTCAAATTTTGACACAAAAAATATATTAAGCTATTATTAACAGGTCGCGCTGTTGTACCCGACCGGTCATTATTTTGCTGCGTATTAGTAATTGACATTGTATCTATTAATGTTCAGGTAATTGTACATAATGTAAAACTACGTCTGTATATGGCAGCCATTTGCAAAATTGTCAAGTATTTTAAATCAAAAATCAGTTATTTCTTCTATACGATGCACATTTAAATGTAATTGAGGATTTGCAGTATTCTTGAGAGATATTTAAGCAGATTTACACACATTTTAGATTATGCTAAAAAGTAACTGATATTGGTTACTCCGTTACATAATTTCGGCAGAATCCTTCCTCAAATACTAGATAAAAATATAATAAGTTAAATTAAGACTCCAGATTGAATTGACCTAGATAGCTGAGTAAGTAGCTGAATAGGTAGCTTGAAATACGGTTGAGCGGAGGAAATCGTAGCGTCACAAAATACAAAGAAAATTTGTGACTCTTGCGATATCTTCAGATAGTCAGTACAGGTTTGGGTGTTTGGCTTCGCAACCATCCATAAGCAGTAAATCATGGTAAAAAATTAATCGACTGGTCAAAAGAAATGATTGGAAAAGATAAACTGAGCAAAAACTTTGTTATAACGAGTGACCTTTTTCTTTATAGTACTAATTTGTGGCGTTTAACCATTTCCTCCGCTGAACACTACTTCAAGTTACTATGACAACTGCTACAGTACCAAATATCAACGGTTCTTAGCAATAATCTTTTGATGGTTAGTGAAATGTATCATGCTTTTCCTGTGCAAATTTGGGTTATGGATATTACAAAATAAAAAATTGGCTTTAATTATTGTACATCTATTTGCCAAAACTATATTAGATCTTCAAAATATCACAATTAGACTAGTTGCTTCTTACAAATGTCAGCATAAAAGTCTTCACAGACCAGCATTCAGCGATTATTTATTCATAAGGACATATTAAAAAACGAAGACAACAGTCGGATATTACAATTAATTTATTTTTGTTAAATTACATTTGTAAAAATATGTTGCAATATTTGATCGATTAATGTAAATAATAAATAAAGTTATGTACAATGTATATTATAGCCCCGAGCTTCTTACTTTTTGTTCACTTTTTCAAACATGTTAGGTAAAATAAATCATTGGCAAGGAGGGGGAGACCCCATAGTTCATAGTTGACTTCATTATTACCTCTTCCGCGTACCCTTTTCGTTTAATGCATATATTATCTGGATACTAAACATCAATGTGATGTTTTGATTGGCATAATCACATTCCTCACATCATTCTTTATCTTAGTGATGAAGAGAATCAAGTCATAATATTACTTAGGCTAGCTGTACACCAACGAGACTTTGCCCGGATTTGCTCGGTGGTTCGTTTTACAATGTGAGATCCATTACCAAACAAATTTAGTCTTTCGAACTTTACTGAGAAGAAGTCGGATATTGCATTGTTTTGGTTTCATTATTCTTCAAATTTTAATTTCATTGTTTGGATGATGAGCAATTGCGTGATTAATCACAACTGAACATTTATCTGTTGCCTTTCCTCAGTGGTAGCATTCCAATCCAACTGATCGAAAGATAAAAAAATACAAGCCATTTCATCCCTTATCTTGAATCATTTTGGACGTGGACATATGTTCTTAGAGGTCATGCAAATCAGAGTTTGTTTTGGAGTTTAAGCTTGCAATGTTTTTCAACCTAAACGTGAAGGGAAAATATTTTTAGCGATGCATTTGTATGGGCGATTGGTCATTTGTAGAGGTTGGTGTTTCGACTTTATATGCAAGCTTAAACTCTCAATTGACTGAAAGCCGATGATTAAACATAAAATGTGTTTTACACGAAATGAATTCCCCAATAATAATTCATTATGTAGGGAAATAGTGTAACCATACAAACATAAAAACGATCCGTGTGTTTGTTGATGCGACACTGACACTATATGCGGAATACATGAAGATGAGGTTCTCAGAATCACCGGATTTGTCAAAGCTGCTCGAGGATTGATATGGATGCAAGTGTTTAACATTACAACTCTGTCCATACACAAAAATAACTGACAATTTACTCGAAAATGCGAACAATCACATCAATTTGGGAAAATAAGGGAGAGGGTATCACGGGTATACATAAAGGGATGTTCCTAAAAGTAATTTATTTGGCTAAAACACCAGAAACGAAGAAAAATTCGATAAATTGTCAACACTTATAAGGGGGTGCAAAAGCAGCAACACATCAACCGGCCGGTCTAATGCTACCACTTACCAGTACGGTTTGAGGCTAGATACATTTAATTTAGTTGTAAGGCGTACAATGCATATAATTGATTGGACTTTTTCCATTTTGTATTGCTTGTAATTAATCTAAATGTTTTTAAACAAGTCATAATATTGTCACAGAAAAACAACAGTTGCAGAACAGACACATACAAAGATAAGACATTTGAAAACTGATTAAATGCAAATGACATCCTTGAACGAAGAATGTTGGTTTTATTCCACTGTGTCAACGAGAGAATACTTAAGTGGGGAAACTGTAATACCATTGTCTGCAACTAAAGTAAATATTAACGTCTAAGTTATCTTTTATTGAATTAAAAAGGCTACCACCGAATGTGCAAGTATGATCACTAACGGCAGTACACGTGCCAACGACACTAACGCTACAGAAGCCGTTGTCTATATAGAGGCAACAATAGCTGAAGGACTATGGGTATACTGCGCACCACTGATCATAATTCTCGGTACAATAGGAAACACTTTAGCTCTTATCATACTTACAAGGAAGAACATGCGAAAGAGCACATCCAGTGTTTACCTTAGTGTTCTAGCTGTGGTGGACACAATGGCGCTTTACACTGGCCTGTTGCGATATTGGATCATTTACATTTCTGACGTAGACATACGAGATATAACACTTGGTGGGTGCAAGGTACATATATTTATAGTTTACTATACGGTGCATCTGTCAGCGTGGATCTTAGTTGTGGTTACTTCTGAAAGATTAATAACCATCTATGTTCCAGACAGAGCTTGTTCTAATCACCTCACCACACCTATTGTTATTTGCGTTCTATTTTCTGTTTTCTTCGTCGTCAACCTTCACTTCTTCTGGACATTCGGGGACACTAGAATAAACAATGAAGGTGAAAAGGTAGTTAGATGTATTGTTGCCAATGATAAATATGCGGATTTCATATTGCACACATGGTCATGGCTGGACACGTGGATAGCTTCCTTCATCCCGTTCATCATTATGTTCGTCAGTAACGTCCTCATCATCATTAAGGTTGTTTTCTGGAACAAAAATTGGAAAACGGCGAAGGAATGTAAAATGACCACGTTGACGGCAATGTTACTCACAGTGAATTTTGTTTTCATTATCTGCACGGCCCCTATCGTTATCTACCTGAATTTCTACACAAAGTGGTACTCGGATAAGGATGATGAGCTACAAACGGCTAAATCCGAACTCCACTGGGCTGTTTGTAACCTGTTGCAGTATATTAACAATGCCATTAATTTTCTCCTTTATTGCGTTTCTGGAAAAAGTTTCCGGCGAGAGTTATCAGGATTGTGGTGTTGGAAGAAAAACCAAGTTGCCCAGGCACCTCACTCCAACATTACCAGCCACAATGAGGAGACTGTAGCATGAATTGCTTTAATAACAGTGTAACGGTCCGGTCAAGACTGGGGTCAAAGTTAGACCGTTCCAAGAACACCCGCCTCGGTTCACAACAGGATGCTAATACCTCGAGTTAGCATCATCCAAGATGGTGGGCAAAGTCTTAGTTTCATCACTGCCAAAAATGCAGTTTTCTTTCTCCGATTTCGGAAATATTTGAGCATTGCTTTGGAGTTGCTCACAATCGGAACTCCATAAGTTTGCATCACAAAATATTTGGAATCCTGATTTTAGTTGGTTTAGTTTAAATCGAAGGTTTATCGATATCGAACGAATTTTGTCCACCACCTTGATATTAATTCAAGTAAGTTTTATCCTGCTGTGGGCCAGTGGGTCGAAATGGACAGATCATGATCAGTAAATGTGACTCCCCATGAAATTATATATTTGGTATTTTGTTCTAAGTATTTCAGTGATTCGTCGATGCTAACATCAATCCCTCGAATAAATATGGCATACATGGGATATCATTTTTATTCAATTATGGATATCAGCCAACTCCACCGGGAAGAACACTTTCACATTCATTATTAATTGTAGTCTTACATCAGGTCTCTGGACTATCTATTCCGGATATCTGCTTCACTTGTGATGTAGGAGATGCAAAGGCTTGAGGCAAGACTATTACAAATCAAATGAAAAAAATGCTCAAACATCATCAAATAGCACCTTGAAAAAGACAGTTACTCCCTGCTCCCCCTCTGGCACCACACCCCTCTAAAAAGGAATCTGTTTTCTGTTTTTTTCTCAATTTTATTTATTGTCTAATACTTTTAATGAATCCAAAAATCACCAACATAATGCAATTATATTGGTAACTTCTGGACAGTTTTAAAGTGTTTGACAATAAAAAAAAAACGGCACATCGTACCTTAGATTGGTCAAATACCTTAGAGAGGGGGGCCTCAACTTATTCTCCTAAAAATAAAACAAATATTTCATTCAATTCCATTTATAGACGAAAACACATTTAAAGTGCAAGAAACACCAAATATCTTGAATTGGTAGAACGAGGGGTTACCCCATGCACACAAAAAAATATTTTTTGAACCCCGTGATCGCTCCCCCAAAAAGAAAACCATTGAAAAAAGTCTGAATTCATTTCGAATTCATTATTATATGTTTCGTCTCTTACACATTTATAAAAGTGGTCAGTCATCAACAAATAGCACCTTTGATATTGTCAAAGTTTGGGGCAGGGGACCAACCCTTGCCCCCTCCATTGTCAAAGTTTGGGGCAGGGGACCAACCCTTGCCCCCTCCAAAAAATTATAAAAAAAAAAATTCTCAGTTTTATTTATTGACCAACCTTTAGAAGTGTCCAGAAATCACTAACATATTATAGTATGTATCTTGGAGCCACGACTTCTTGTTCCTTCTCCTTAAAAAGTGATTTCTTTCTCCAGAAAAAGCATCTTGGATTAGTAATATTTTCTAGCATCCCACTAAAAATAGAATAATGGAAAAATATTTTATTAAGTTCCATTCCTTGACTGAGACACATTTAAAGTGCAAGGAAATCACCAAAATAACATATTGAATATGTAAAATGTGGGGATGTTGCACACAAAAGAGACAATTGAAAAATAGTTTGGGAACTTCTTGAAGTTGTATTTGTTTTCGTAGCTGTATTTGTGTTTAAAGACTTTAAAAGTGCCAAATCACCAAACGACATATTGGAATCATAAACGTTTCTGGCACCCTACCCACAAAGCATTCAATAACTCAAAACCATCAAAAGTGCCCAGAAATAACAAGACAGGTAACAATGTCCAGAGAGGCACAACTTTCACTCTGCCTCATTGCTCCCCAAAAAGAAAACGGTTGAAAAAAATCAGATCTTTTTAATTGATGCTATTGACTCAAAACTTGAAAGTGTCCAGAAATCACTGAAGAGGATCTTGAACTGGTAAAAGAATACCGGTGTCCTTCTTACACACCCTCCTCCTATTCCAATGTGTCTCCAAAGTCCAAATTGCTCATACAAAATATAAAACCAATAAAAAACTATATCATAGGCTCAGTGGGCAAACTTTAGGGGGTAACCAAATACGCCCCCAAACTCGACCCATATCTACTTTTGATTTACGAGGCAAAAATTGACCAGTTTGTTCCACTTTTAGAAAAGTGTCTAACTAGCCTGTATATTATCAAAATAAATGATTTGAAATATGTTTATTGCAAACTCCTTCATTTTCATTATCGTCTACTCCCTGTGACACAACTTTGAATCTTTAAAATATTTTAACCGACTCTCAGTATTGGAACGTTTTCTGCTTCATTATCATATTATTATAATATTTATATACTATTATATTATAATATTTTCACTGATTCGGCAATGAACCTTCAAATATACAAAAAAGCACAATGACACAATTTCCGACGCATGAGCAATTCAATTTTCAGCTGATGAATTTTTAAGAATACATTTTTCATTTTTAGATATTTGCACTATTTTGGCACTGCTTTTATCTTTGGCATTGTCACACCGTGTAAACGGACAGAGGCATCTTAACTGAATATTCACCAGCAAATGATCTAGTTGCTCCAACAATGAAATTACATAGACTAAATGGGACACTGAAGAAAAAATACATTTGTACCCCGCGTTTCCCTACATGTAACCATGGTTACCATATCGAAACCAATAACAAGTTACTATGACTACAATGTAATTATAACTCTAGAAGATAATTTAGTATCGTATTTAGCAAAAACAGGTATTTATGTCAAAAGAACTCAACAATACATGTAAATAGAGCAATGAATGATTGGATATAATTATTGTTTTCTATATAAATATACAAACATACATAAAATGGTGTACAACTACATAGAACATGATATACCACCTAGCAATATGGATGCACTCGGAACCGATCCATCTTCCAACAAATCTAATTCCCGATGCAGTCATCTTACACAACTTTAGCATTGGAAATTCTTAACCAACCATGGTGTTCGCAGTTTGGACGTTTGGAAAAACGGGTCCTTGTATTTATTGAAATACGAACATGCCATATTCCGCGTAACACATACACCATCCTTTGGAAACTGAAGTTGAAAATCGTTGCCACCTGTATCTTATAGATTGATTCGTTTTTCGATTAAGGTGCAAGAACGGTAGGAAGCAGATCTACAGATGCGGCAACTCCCATCCTAAGAGAACACACATCATCGTCAGTTCCTTATAGAAACATGTAGCTAGTAGAAAAACGGAAACATTCACTTCTCTGTACATTTCAAGAAATTTAATTTTGACCTCACAAATCATACCTCATTTATCCTATGCCCAGTAGAGTTTTAGGGGGATGAAGTTGGTAAAATATATACTGTATCCTGATTTTGAGATTTCCATATCCAGAACCTCCATATCTCCCATATCTTGCCACTTCCTGTAATTGAAAAGTAAATTTGAGAAAATGTTGAAAAATCTAGCCTACTTTGCATTTTTTTTAGAAAAACTGCTGGGTTTAGGACAAATTGAAGCAGTGATGTACGGTTGGTTTATCATACATCATATCCAAAACTTCCCAGTACATCACCATTATTTATATGAGATATGTAAAAGATGACAAAATATTTTTTATACGTTCATTTCAGACAACCCTAAACACCAAGTCAAAAATGACGTCAAGTCTTTACCAATGATGGACTGTCATTCGATTAAAGTGTCTCACATATTCGATCAAAATTTGCCATGCAAACATGTTAGTCTACTTTACTGGCCCCCCTTGCTGTAACAAGGAACCCAAAACACATTAAAACGTAAACATAAACCAATTAGTCACTTCAATATGAAAGTGAGGGGTGTTAGTCCATGCACACAGCGTATTCTGCTAATACATATTTGCTAACACAATATCAGTGGTCATTTACTGTGTCAACTTAGTAACCCTTGCATATCGTGCTCACTCAAGTATTGAATATTTTTTTATGATCTAAATGTTTGTGGTTTCACAAAAAATGTGATATATTTTAGTTAGAAATACATTTATTGATATATTCATTCAAACAGCACTAGAATGCGGGAAGAAAGAGCAATGGTGACAAAATGCAGACAGAATCTTCTGTAAGGGTTTCAAACATTTCTGGACACAATCATACATGTACTTCATGTGTGCTGTTATTTTTAGTGCTGTATTTATAGATATAATTTCACGTATTAAAATCATATTTTCCAGCAATTACTTCAAATTCGGAACCACACCCATATCACATTTTCTTCAATAACTCCAAACATGTGTAAACATTGACCATGTGCATATAAATTCAGATTTCACGAGCTCTTTCTTATTCGAGTACCTCATACACCCCTGCATGGATTTGAGTTGGATTCGCCTTTTATACGTGAGCCGACACACTCGCAAACGCTGATTGGATAAAGATTGCGAGAATCTTTAAACCGAACCGTTTAAAACCATAAATGAGAAGTTTGTAATGTGAGTGTCAAAATGGGCATTGTGTCATAATACCACGATGCCCATCTCGCGTTAAACCCTGCAGCGGGCTACCTTTTTATAATACGAACGCGCCCGGACAAGGAGGAAACTCGGGTGTTCTCCCTCCGTCAATGTAAGCCACTGATGACATTTACGATCATATCCCAAGGCCTCTAAACGCCCTCCATCTCCTAGGAGAGAATCCAGAAAATTGATGCAAGATTAATGGAATTGAGTATAAAAATATCGATGATATTTTGGATATTTTCTCTTATCCCATACTTGGACGTGGTATTCAGTATTGCGAGGGCTAAGCTTCAAAATATCATATCCCAACCTGATTGGACCTTCAATAGATAAAAGTATTGTTTTTGCTTTTATGTTTCTAAGTATTATTCACTACTAAGCCTTGGATCGGGAGTCGGTGGTATGCGACCTTTAACCCTTTAACCCTAGCGTTATCCCTTATTCATCAAAAGATATCAATAAACTCGAAACGGCGCAGAGAAAATTTGCAGGAAAATACAATCCTTTCCCGAATGGGCGGAATGCCCCGTAGCCTACGTGCCACTTGGGTGGGAAGGTATAGAATACCAGATCGATACTGCAAAACTAATGTCCATATGGATGTTACTGAATTTGCCTTGCAACAACATATAAAAAAATGTTGATTTTACGCATGACACTAATGGAATTTGACTTTAAAATGACATCCCCTATCGCACACATGTGGTGCACGGCTAGGAAATACGATCTTTCGGAAATTGTAAAATCAATGTTAGATGGACAAATGATGTCCAAAAGTAGTTGGAAACGTCGAGTAAAATGTCAAGTTCGAGACCTACAACCTACACCTATGTTTCGAATAAGATGCATGATATATGAAAGTTTAACTTATTTTATCAATGGTCACTCATGTCTGATTCCAAACAGCTGGTATGTTCTGTATCAACGGCTGCAATGATTGAAAAAACAAGTTACAACTGTTGTGAAGTTAATTACTGGTCAATTAGGTCTAA